GGTTTTTTTTTTTTTTTTTTTTTTTTTTTTTTTTTTTTTTTTTTTTTTTTTTTTTTGTGTGATGAGAAACCGAACATATATTTGCTAGATTGTTCGTTCATTATCAAGCAACCGTGTGCTCGTTTTTACAGGCTTGAACAAAAATTCTCAAATATTGAATCTCAAAATCAGATTCTTCGCCAGCAGACCTTCATGACAACACCAGTGAAAAAAATGGCTGACCATCTTCCTATTGCAGTAGCAGAGGTAAGTCTTATTTGAGGTTTGATACTGTTTTTGTTAGGCCTCTTGCTTGTGGTCGAGTTTCAATCTTCCTCTAGCCGTCTTCGTGCACCGTTCTTCCTTGTTCTCGAACAGTAATATCGAGTTTCTTTCTTTGCAGAAATTGGAGAACGGTAGCCATTTGATTGAAGATAACAAAATCGATGTATTGCGTCTTTCTGCACCTTATTCGTCTCCCTCTATGTTCATACTGGGTGGTATTATTTTTAATACATGACGTTCATAATTATGTCTAATTATAGGAGCAGCAGCTCGTAACACCCGTGAAAGCGCTGAAGAGAATTAGCTCAGAATCTGAAATTAAGTTGAGTCGACCTCTTTTCGAAAATCAACACGTACGTGCTTCTAAATCGCCCGAGTCTTCTCATTTGTTTTGCTCCATTGGTGATATATTTTAACTTCTGATTCCTGGTACAGGAGAATGTTGATGCTCTTGTCAGTTGTGTCATGAACAACATTGGGTTCAGTAATGGGAAGCCTGTAGCTGCCTTTACCATTTATAAATGTCTTCTTCACTGGAAATCTTTCGAAGCCGAAAAAACAAGTGTGTTCGATCGCCTAATTCAGATGATTGGATCTGCAATAGAGGTAACTGGAAAAGATTCGTTTCTGTCATTCGCGTTATGCTGTTACTAAAGTAACGAAGTTAAGATCGTTCGTTGGAATAAATGGGGTTCTAATCGTATTTATCTAAGTTCCAGAATCAAGATAACAATGATCATCTAGCCTATTGGTTGTCGAACACATCTGCGCTACTGTTCTTGCTTCAAAGAAGCTTGAAAGCTGCCGGTGCTCCCCGAAAACCGCCAACTTCAACATCCTTATTTGGAAGGATGACTATGGTAGTTTCGATTCAATGTTTCTATTCTTTATGAACCTTCATTTTCTGTTATTTAATCCTTTAGTGTTCTTGGTTGTTTAGGGTTTTCGTTCGTCTCCTTCTTCCAACAGTCTTGGATCTGCGCTTAAGGTCGTGCGCCAAGTGGATGCTAAATATCCAGCTTTGCTATTCAAGCAGCAGTTGACAGCATATGTCGAAAAAATATTCGGAATTATCCGAGATAACTTGAAGAAGGAGTTGACATCATTGCTGTCCTTGTGTATCCAAGTAAGTAGGATCCTCCGAGCAGTCTTTTTGTTTTCTCTTTCTCGTACGGGGGTTGTTGTAATGAAGCTTCGTTTGCTATACGTCTCGGGTTCTTGTCAGGTACCAAGAACATCGAAGGGAGTATTACGATCGGGAAGATCATTTGGAAAAGATACTCAAACAAATTACTGGCAGAGCATCATAGAATGCCTCAACATGCTTCTGTGTACATTGAAAGAAAATTTTGTATGGATACTTTTTGGAACCTTTCAAGTCCCTTGTATTGAATGTTGTGGACATGTTTCTCAAAGATTTCATTATCGTTATGGTTTCAGGTTCCGCAAATACTTACCCAGAATATCTTTGTTCAAAACTTTTCATATATTAATGTTCAACTCTTCAATAGGTAAGCCATTCATTCTGTATCTTCGGTTTCGTTCTAAGAAGGGAACTGTGTTGACGGTCGTGTTATTTACTTTTCAGCCTTCTTCTTCGTCGAGAATGTTGTACGTTCAGCAATGGGGAATATGTCAAATCCGGGTTAGCTGAGTTGGAGCTTTGGTGCTGCCAGGCAAAAGAGGAGGTAGTACTTACTTTCCCTTTTCAATCAAGAAGTTAAAATTTTGAGTTAGTTTTGAATAAGCTGTCCTCGTGTCCTCGTGTAATGGTCCAAGCCCACCGCTAGTAGATATTGTCCTCTTTGGACTTTCTCTTTTGGGCTTCCCCTTACGGTTTTTAAAACGCGTCTGCTAGGGAGATGCTTCTACACCCTTATAAAAAATGTTTCATTCTCCTCCTCAACTGATGTGGGACCTCTTAATCCATCCCCCTTCTAGGCCCAGCATTATCGTTCGATGTGAGATACCCCAATCCACCCCCCTTTGGGGTCCAACGTCCTTGCTGGCACACCGCCTCATGTCCACCCCCCTTTGGGGCTCAGCCTCCTTGCTGGCACATCGCTTGGTGTTTGGCTCTAATACCATTTATAATGGCCCAAACCTACCGCTAACAGATAGTGTCCTCTTTGGGCTTCCCTTCAAGGTTTTTAAAACGCATCTACTAGGGAGAAGTTTCCACATCCTTATAAAGAATACTTTCTCCTCCTCAACCGATGTGGGATCTCACACCTCATTTGTGTCATGTTGCTTAAGCTCAAAGCAATACAAAACGAGCCGCCGCCCTAATGAGACTCTTAGTCGAGCGTTTCTTTTACCTTTATTTGAAGCTAGCCTAGAAATATATATATATTTTTTCACGTAAATCTAATTATTTACAGTATGCTGGTGCTTCTTGGGATGAGCTTAAACACATAAGACAAGCTGTTGGGTTCTTGGTATGATATCTACTTCATTTTTATAAACATAAACTTGTACAGTCTCATATCAAGTCCTTGTTAATGCTCTTTATTTACAGGTTATACATCAGAAATACAGAATTTCATATGATGAAATCACCAATGATCTTTGCCCGGTAACTCTCGCTCTCTTTCTCTCGTCTCTGTTCACTTAGTTCTCGAATTATGACAATTATGCTTTAGATCCTTTTTATGGAAATCTAACACAAAATCTTTGTTTGTTTGGTTTAGATTCTGAGTGTCCAGCAACTTTATAGAATATGTACACTCTACTGGGATGACAACTATAACACACGAAGCGTGTCGCCTGATGTGAGTTGTTTGTTCATGTCCTGTTCTTCATTTGAAACTGTTTCTCTTGAGTTAATCTGCTCACCATAACTTTAATATATGAGAATAGGTAATATCCAGTATGAGAGTGCTCATGACTGAGGACTCCAACAGTGCAGTTAGCAGTTCCTTCCTATTGGATGACAATTCTAGGTGAGTCCGAAAAATCAATCGTAATGCGTCTTAATCATCTCACAATATGATTCGTTGTCGTGCTCTATTAAAACGTGCCATGTTTCATCAATGCACAGCATCCCTTTCTCGGTCGAAGACCTCTCGAACTCACTGCAAGAGAAAGATTTCTGCGGCGTGAAGCCTGCCGACGACTTGCTTGAGAACCCAGCCTTCCAATTTTTAAACGAGTGAGGCTAAGAACGGGTCGAGTAGGGTGTTTTTCAGCTGATTTCTGTTCTGTTGGGTGGCTCGTCAAGCAGCTCAGCTCCAGCTCAGCTCGGAAATCTTGTTTTTGTACCATCCTCCCACAAAGAAAGGTCCCTCTCCTTGATGAAATTTTATTTATTCATTCAATCTGGGTTTGGTATTGTAAATTCTTCTTCACTAGGACTGAGGAGTGTTTGGGTATAGTGTTTGTATTCTTTTTATTGTTCTTATGCCATCATTGGCTGCATTTTTTAGCATTTTTTCTTCTTCTTTTGGTGGCTGAGACACTCTACTCTCCACTCACATTTCATTGTATAAAGGAGTACACATCAAGTTTGTATAAATTTGGTAAGAAATAATAGGAACAGTTCTTCACTTTTCTATTTATATATGTTTGCTAGTCTTAATGGATGTGGTTGTCATGGGGGCAAGAATGTTTTGCCATGATTGGGTGACAATAGTTGTCACGAGGCAAAGACATGGCTACCACCATGTCTCGACTGAGTCGAGATGGCGTATTGTTTAACTTTTGACAACATATGTGTTTTCTTCTTTGATGGGAATGATCAAGTGATCTTTGTCCATAGTTGGGACAATATTGATCTTAAGCCTAAACTCCTTACTCGTATGGTTAGAGTCGTTTCCTAGTGCTTGCTAAGAACGAACTATAGTTAGCTAAGTAATGACGTGAGAAATGAGACTCGTTTTGTGAAAAAACCACATGCTTTGGGACCATTTAGGACCTCAATTGGACCATCCAAAATTCTATTTCCCCTTTGTTTTGGTCCATCTTCACATGAATTTTAGACCCTTCATATGGTATTTTCATGCATTCCATTTGAAACATTGGTCCCTTCTCTTCATTTTTCTCATATTCACAACTACATCAACATCAACCCCTTTACTTTCGACTTGTAACACACACACGACTAAACATGATTGCGTTCGAAATAATCAAACCAATGATTAGTATCAATTTCAATAATATTCCAGAAATCCTAATTTTAGTCTTCTGATTAACAAATAGGAATTTTAAGAACCTCCAACTTCAACTTTAATGAACTTTTGTCCATATTTATGGCCCTTATTTTTATAATTATATGATTTGACCTTCGATTTATTCAAAATATTTCATTCTAATAAAAATGGTCGGATTTTTTTATTTTCATTTATGATGCGAGACTTTGTTTAAATTTGGACATTAAATTTATTAGGTTTGGTCCATATCCACATCATTCACATGAATTATACACATTCCATATGGTGTCGTGATGTGATGCATTTCCTATCTAAAAGTTATAAAACCCTAATTTTCAAGTATATATATATATTTTGTTTGACTATTAAATTTTTTATTTTATTTGTTTAAACTATATGGTTGTTGAAATATTGCAAATTCATAATGTATATAGAAATCATACATGAATTTGAAATAATTTGCAATCATTAAAGTCAATTCCCATTATGTTCAAGTTTCATGCATTTTTATAGTCTACCCTAATTAATTGTTATGCTAATTAAACCAATTATACCTAATGTACGTGTGGGTCATGTCCCAAACAATTAACATAAATTAATATGGCAACAACAATTAAAAAAGAAATTTATAATTAAGTTGGTTCTAATATATAAGCGAGAAGTAAGTGATATAACCATGTCGTAGGGGATGCAAGAGAATGTCGGGACACATCACTGTTGTTTGATTTGATTTTGTATACTCTAAATTTGAATAATTTTGGACCGTTGGATAAACAATGATAAAATCATGTGTTTGGTCAAGATGGGATTCTTGTTTTCAAATATTTATGCACCTTGGTTTTTCCAATTGATGTTTTTTTTTACTAATTTCTCATTTTATGGTCTCTTAATTAATAAATTATTTTTTTATTTTTATTTTTTTATCTCTCTCTAACTAAAAACTTTCAACTGCCTTTCCATGTGGTCTCACGTGTTTCTCCCACAACTCTCCCTCTCTCTCCCTATTAATTCAGTTATTATGGTTGCTATGTTAGTTGATTAATTAATTAATTAATTAATTAATTATTGGAAGAGAGAGGGAAATCTAGCTATTTTACTGATTAATTTGATTAATGGGGTTTGACTAAATTATAATATTTGATTATTGAGTGTAATTTTTGAAGGCATCACATGGATTAATTCCTTTCTTTTATTATTTTTTTATTTTAAAAGAAAATATTTGGACGGTTGAGATCATTTTAAAGCAAACATAAACATCCAAATCTGCGCAACGACCGCCCTTAGATGTTGCTGCCACCCATGTATAATGCATCCCATGTGCCATTTTATTTTTCTCTCTATTTATTCATAATCAACTTAATTAACCTAATTAATAATGTATGTTATTTTATTTTCATTAAATTTAACTTAATTTTAAATCTAATTTTAATTTCGTCGGTCGGATATCAATACGAAATCTAACTCGTGAACTATGTGTTGATATGGAATAAAAATGAAAAAACATTGCAATATATTCCAATTCATTAAGATCTTTATATAAATAAATATATCAATTTTCATTTTATAAGGAATTCCACATGTTCCAGGCTATTCGGGTCATAGCGTAAGCTATTGATGCTTTCAACTACTGGACTCTTGCCATCTAGGGTGCAACACTCCACTGAAGCAGCATGATGCTTGTATTGCTCTCACACAACCCTGTTTTTATGATTTATGTTGCTTCTATTTAGTGGGAATTACTTTTACTTTCTTTTCTTCTAGCTATTAAAAGGTTTTTGTTTACTAGGTTTGCCTGCCCATGAATTCAACGACAATTTGAAAAGTTGACCTATTCGAGAATTTTCGAATCTAGACTTATTTTCAACTCTCGAGACGTTGTGAAATAAAATGATATAGTATTAATGTTGTTCGTCTCTCCCTCCGTGAATATTAGATATCAATTCAAATTGGTGAAGGATTAAAGTAAGTTTGGATATACTTAATATGCTCTCGGCACGTTGTTTTTTAATATGGGAGCATTAGCCATTAAGGAAGGGGAGGGGGCTGTGTGTGGCAGCATGCATATGGGAGGAAGCTACGGGGGTGGCATGCACCAGCGCTGCTGGTTGGTGCTCAGCTCAGATGGCGGAAGGGAATATGCAATGCATACTCCCTTTTCTCAACTTCTAATTCATTTATCCTAATTTCTATGACAACTAGATTTATTCATCCCGTCTTGACTTCTTCATCGATTTTTAGTTACGTTATTGAAAAATTGATGTTTCCAAGGAGTTCGTGGTTGCAACTTTACCATCGTAAGCACCACACCCTGTCGTGTTTTGTTAGAGAAGAACAAGCACCTTAATCAAACGCACAAAGAAGAAATAATCAAAGAGTATATCAGCACGATCCATGGTTTAGACCGTCTAAGTCGAGCCCTCATAATAAATGCCCAATCTAAATGGACTAGGTCTAGTCAAGACGCATGCAATCTAGCCTAGACACAACGGGTTCCCTCCTAACCCTCCGGTTCACCTCACAACGGTTATAAAAGTACTATAAGAGATTCATCCATTGAAAGTCAACAATTTTCTAGCCAAATTTATTTAATAAATATATGTGAAATTACCAAACTGTCCCTCTATCAATTTTGATTTTCCTCTCCTTTCTTTCCTGTTATTTATTATTATTATTATTTTATTAACCGTAGCATTAAAATTGTAACATGTTTTACATTTTCTAAAGAAAAATGTATATGATTGATTAATATGTATATATATATAATATGCATATGGTCTCAAGTAAGGAGTTGGAAAAATATTTGTCTTAGACAAACATATCCCATAATTGTATCATTGTCAAAAACATATCTAAGATTTCTCTACAATTTTTTTCTTCTTCCAAACATTGTGGGTTTTCAACTAATCATATGCTAAATTTTATGTTTGGTCCTTAATTTTTTAAATTTTATATATTTAGTCCCTCATAATCTCCAATTTTAATTTTAATTTTTTTAAAGTAAGTTTATGAATTTTCAATTTTTTATTAATTAGAAAAAAATAATCAAATATTGTAATGTAAGAAAGTTAAACTAAAGAATAATGCATTGGGGAATTCAAAACATGTCTCTCGGGAGACACCTAGATTGAAGTGACAAATTAAACCTTAATTTTAATTTAATTGAATTTAATTTATGTTTTATTTATTGAAATTATCAAACAATAATTGCACAAATGAAGGAAATGTGGTAGATGCAATGCCTCTCCTTCTAACCTGCCATCTTTATCACTATTTTTTTTCCTTTTATTCTAAACAAAACCATTTTTTATTGTATTTATTTATTTATAAAAAAAAACACGCAATATACATTTTCTTTTATATTTATAAATAAAAATAGAGAGATTATAAAATATATAGTACTCTAGTGTGGCGCATAAAGAATGAGCCACGTATTATCAATTTGTTAAAGTTAAATAATAAAATAGAAGGGTTATGATTAGATTTTTGTAAAAGATGGGGGTTTTAGAACGCAAATTTAGAAAATATTGGGGTTGTTTGAGAAATAAAAAAAAGTAAAGGGTGTGATGTGTAATTATAGGAGTGTATGAATGTGAATACAGTGGAATAATAAGTGTGAAATTGAAGATGAGGTCAGCCACATTGTAGCTTAGCTAGCACAATGATTTAAGATTTAAGTTTATTTATTAGTTTATATATTAATAATTGGTTTTTAATGTCTCTATATATTTTTTTATAATATGGTTTTATGCATTATAAAGTATGGAATATGAAGTCCATGTTGTATGGCATGTGACAATGTGAGTTAATCAATATATAAAAGTATTATTAAACTTTTCAAAATTTAAACATATTTTAAAATCATTTTCTATAATTTAGTCCTGTTAAATTTTACATTTTTCAATATTTTTTTTACTCGATTAAAATTTTATGCTCAATATATGACGAAAAGAAAAGAATATATAAAACTAAAATAAATTAAAATAAATAAATAAATCTTTCTTAGCAAAATAATAATAATAATGAATCTTAATAATGTTTTTGCAATAAATAATATTTATTTAATATAGTAGAACTTAGTAAAAGAGTTTTTTTTTTTTAAATAAATTAGAAAGAAAAAAAAACATGTTTGACCAAAGTTTTTTTTTTCTTCTTCTTCTTAAAATGATGATAATTTTACATATCTTGGTACCAATCATAGTTACAAAGATCATAGATCACAAAATATCTAAACACATGAAACAAAATATTCCCAACTTTAATTAATTAATTCCTCACTAATTTTAATTTACAACTCAAAAATTAAAAATTAATAAGAGTGAGTCACCCATGATGTGGATTTTCTAAATCTTCTTCAAGATTCATTTTATTTATTTTCCTTTATAATTATCTTAATTACATT